TCTCACTACACAGATCAGACTTGAAGTGATCCTCCTGTTTTCAGCCTCCCAAGTGTTGGGATTATAGGCGCCATGTGCACTACCACGCCTAGTCTCAATCGCCATCTCAGCATGCTTTGGGGATGGGGCCAGCATGGCACACCAGGGATTGAACCCCGGCCCCTGCTCCTGCTTAGGAAGGTGCTGTAGTCTGCTGAGCTATCTGGCCAGCCCCCCCTTAGCTCCTTTCTGTGTGTTCCACACCAGTGGGGTGGCTGGGAGTCTTGCAGCTGCTGAGCGGGTTGGCTGCTGGATGGATGGGGTGCTGGGGGGGATCAGGGCCCGACACCCCTCTCAAGTGCTTTCTCGTTCACATTCTCATGCCTCTGCTCTCAGCAAATAGGGTGGGCGCTGCTTCCCCCAGCAGCGGCTGAGAAGCAAGCTCAGCGATGTCCCAGGTCCTCCGGGAGCTGCTCTGTGTCTCTGAGAAAGCGGCCAACATCGCCCGCGCCTGCAGGCAGCAGGAGGCCCTCTTCCAGCTGCTCATCGAAGAGAAGAAAGAGGGAGAGAAGAACAAGAAGTTCGCGGTCGACTTCAAGACACTGGCAGATGTACTGGTGCAGGAAGTTATAAAACAGAATATGGGAAACAAGGTAAGAGAGGGAAACAAGGTAAGAGTGTGGTGGCAGCAACAGAGTGTTTGCCTCTGTGGGCTTCTCCCCTGTGGAATGGTGTAGCTTTGACTTCCCTTACGCTGGGATCCAGATACACATCCTTCTTGTGATTGCAAAATTAATAAAATATTTATAGCAAAAATAAAGTACAGAAAAGAAAACAAGACCCACAAGTCTTAACACCCAGAGATAAACGTTCCATATTGCACCTTTCACTTACTAAGATTCATTAAAAATCACTCCTTTATTAACAAGGTCCACCTTAATAAACAGTACATATCTCGGGGACATAAGCACAACTAGAAATCCTCTTACTAGAGCAAACCACAGCCATGTTCTGCTAAATGTTGTTAGAACATTTTCTTTCTGTGTGTGTACGTGACCTGTATAATTTATTTCAGCAGAAATGAGAGCACTGTTTCATAACCTTTTTAATTTTTTAACTTGGTATAGTTAAGTCTTATCTTTTGTACTTAATCATTTATCTAATGTTTGCCTTGGCTATGGGCTTGTCCCTAGATAAAGTCTCCATTTATTCAACTAGAAAAACATTGTCATAACTAACAGCAGTGGTAACCCTAAGTACCTGCAGGTGATTAGAGAAATGATATTCATAAATAGTATTAATAATAGCACTTAGCAAATAATAGCACATAATTTTTGTAACAGTTTCATGAGATAACCCTTATTTTAATATAGTGGATTTTTAAAAAGGAATGGGGAATTTAAGTAAATTCCACAGCAAGTAAATGACCAAGCAAGTTTTTGAACACAGACAAGCTGGCTCCAGACTCTGGTATTTGCGATAAGGGATAGCTTTCATATGATACTGTAAACATGCTTCCATATTTAGGCAGATAGCACCTTAAAATAGTGGAAATACATAAAATCTATCCCGTGAAATTCTAATTTGGAGAATCATCTACGTAAATGTTAGGCACAGGTAGGAGACAAGAGTAAATGGCTACATGAAGAAAGTTTGTGACTGATCTAGGTGGATGGGTGCAGTGTCCCATTGAGCAGCTGGATTGGACATGTATTGACATCCTCTTTTATGGGCTAATATTTGCCCCAAAGCATTATAACAAGTTCAGGCAATTGGTCCTTCATGAAATAAATGCCAGAATTTATGTACTGTTATTCCATTTTGACTACATAAAATATTTTTATTTCATACCCTAGTAGCTTCGGGAATAGATCTCTAGGCAGGTTTAGGAGACAAAGTTTTAGTCCTTGACGGATAAGTTGGCTGCCAGCTCCTGGGGGCTTCTGTTCTCTTGCAAAAGAGGAAGAGAAGATAAAAGTAGTTGTGGGCATTGTGAAAGCTTCTGACCCTCTGCAGATGATGGAGTACAGCATCTGAAGCATTTCCCTGCTTTTCTTCCCTAAGAACATACATATCATATATATATTTTTCTTTTTTTTTATGTATTTGGTGCAAGGTCTCACTGTACAGCCCAGACTCGTAGTGATCCTCCTGTTTGTAGCCTCTCCAGCGCTGCGATTCCAGGCCTGCGCCACCATACCCGGTCTCGGTGGGCCGCTCAGCCTGCCTGCATGCGGGGCCAGCGCTGCCTGCGGTTCCCAGGAATTGAACTCCAGTGCCTGCACTTGCCTAAGCAAGCACTTAGTCCACTAAACTATCTCACTGGCCCACACATACCGTAGTTTGGCAAATATTTTGAGAAAAACTGTCTTTACTGCTAAGGATCAGAAGCAGTGTGCATCAGAAAGCTTCTCAAATCTTACAGAGATGAGAAGAGTCTTACTTGACTCCATTTGTTCACTTGATTTTGATGTACAAAGTATTAGTCAATAAAATAGCACCTTTTTTTTTCAATATTACCTTGCTAGCCTGAAAGCCATTGGTAAGTCTGATAGGTACAGAAATCCACTTGAAAGTACAAACAAAATCTACCACTATCCTCTCATTTTTTTCTCTCTAGTCTTAGTAACAATTACAGGTACAACCATTTGAGTGTTGTGTATGAGCAATGGTTAAAATATTGCCTTTGTAAACATTCTAGCTCTGTGGTCCTTATTCATGGAAGATGGACAGGACATGAGACACTCATCCTTCATCATGACTTAGGCTTTCTGTGGGCAGAGGAACAGGAAGACAGCAGAAAATGAGTTGGCCTCATTTTTCATACGTGAATTGATTTCTAGAATTAGGAATTCCTGCATTTCAGAATTGTGCAGTTTAATTTGAAATGTACTATGAAAATCTGTTCAAAATTGAAAATGCGTGTGGGTTTTTTGTTGTTATTTTGGATTTTGTCACATTCTGAATCATTCAGTTTCCAGGCTTGGAAAAAAACATTTTTGGAGAAGAATCCAATGAATTTACTAATGATTTGGGTAAGTGTAAGCACCTTGATATGTTTTTGTCACTTAGTTTTCTTGTGGTATGCTGATCTCCGTTTAAACCACGAAATAAAGGATGTTTATTGTAGGCAGCATAACATAGTGGAATGTGGGAGAGTCCGTCAGACTCTCGTGCCACTTAAGTTAGAGATACGGGTGCTGAGAGTTATGCATGATGTTCCATGCATCATTTTAAAGTAGCAAGCTTGATTGTTCCAATCACTTACCAGTTAACCTTGGGGAAAGCTGTATGGCCCATTGGTTATCTAATGGGGTTCAGTGTGTGCCAAGTATTGGAATTATTATTTCCCAAATTGACTGTCTAATTTGGATGTAACTTAAGTAAACTCAAGGGAGTGTTTTCCTGCTGATTAGCAGTCATCATTGTGGGCTGGGTGTCGTTGAGTGGCCAAGTGCTTGCCTGGTGTGTGTGTGTGTGTGTGTGTGTGTGTGTGTGTGCAAAACTCCGGGTCCCATGCCCAGCAGAGAAAAAATCAAAAGCCAAGCTCATCGTTCTAACAGTCATACTGTGCTTCCCAACCTTACTGGTCACATCATCACTTCAGGGTCTTGTTCAAACTCTGGTTCTGGGGTGAGGCCAGAGGCCGTGAGCTTCTTGCAAGCCCCATGAGGATGCACAGGCTAGGAGGGTGGATGTATGCCTGGACATCCCCTCAGCACTGTGTTTTCTTCACTTTTGAAGAGTTTCGTAGTGTTCTCTATTGCTATCAGTTCTTTTTTTTTTTTAATTTTTTTTATTATTTATTCATTTATTTTGTGTGTGTGGCCAGCTCAGCCCACCAGGGGGCGGGGCTGGCTGACGTGGTACTGGAGGATTGAACCGCGGTCCCTGTGCTTTGCTTAGCTTAGCTTGTTCTAAGTAGGTGCTGTAGACCACTGAGCCATCTCACCAGCCCGCTATCAGTTCTTGTTGTGATTAATTTGCCTGTGTTTAATAACCTCCTTGCTCATGTCTGTTGGAGTCTGGAAACCAGATGAATGGGGGTCCCATGTATGTACAGGGTGGTGGGAAAGCCCTCAGACTTGTAAGTATGGCTGCTTTTGGAGAAGCAGCTCCTATCTGGGTCATTTTGAATGATGTAACTACTGTGCTTAAAGATTAGCAGACTTCATCTTACATTATTGAATGAAAACAATAGTGAACTAAAGCAGGATGGTAGGAGGAGGTGGAAACCATTCAGTGTGCTTATTAAACCTCTGTTCTTTTCGATTCTTGTACAAGCACAGTAACATATGCATAATAAATGTCAAAATGAGAAAAGAAAATACAGTATTGTGATTCAGAACTTCTTCTTACTCATTTATGGATCCCCTGAAGTTGGATGTGAAATTATGTCTATGTGGAGATTCTTCTTGCCCAGGCCCTTTGGTTTCTGAAATAGCGCCCTCTTGAGAGAAGGCATAAGGCCACTGGGCAGCTGGGACTGTGAAGTTCTCCAGGTGATTCTGCCTGTCAGCCAGGACTGGGAACCATGGCGGTGGATCTGCTACCTTCATCTGGTCTTTTGTTGTCGGTCTGCCTGTCTGTCTGTCTGTCTGTCATCATCTGTTCATCCATCCATCCATCCACCCACTCACCCACCCACATTTTTGCAGTACTAGAAAGTGAACACAGGACCTTCATCCTGAGCTTTTTTACCAGTCCTTTCTATTTTTTATTTCAAGACAGGATCTCTAAGGGGCCAGGGAGATGGTTCAGTGGAATAAGTACTTCCCTGGCAAGTGCAAGGGCCTGAGTTCAATCCCTGGTTCTGCCAAAAAAAACAAAAAAAAAAAGACAGGATCTCATAAGTCACTAAGCTGCCCAGGCCGAGTGTGAACCTGTAATCCTCCTGTCCTCAGCCTCTCGGGTGCTGGGTCGTAGGCACGCACCCCATGCCTGGCTGCCCTCACCTCATTGAAGTGTGTGGCTTTTACTGCCTCCTCCTTTGTAGCCTTCTCTCTTTTCCCTGACCTTTCTGTTGTTTTTTCGCCATTGAAACTCCTGAAATGCAATGGCTTTTAGTTTGTCTTTATTCCAGGGGAAAAGATTACCATAAAACCGTGCTCAACGGAGGAAGAAACTACAGAGCTTCTTAGCAAAGTCCTTAGTGGTAACAGGTCAGCGTCTGAAGCATTGGCCAGGGTTGTTCATCAGGATGTTGCCTTCAGGGACCCAGCTCTGGATTCTGTAGATGTCAACATTCCACAGGACATTCTGGGGATTTGGGTGGATCCCATTGGTAAGTGCAAAACTATTTGTGTAAAACTATTACCTTTTGTCCTTAGAGTAGAATCATCATCTATAGCTCATGGTACAGAGAGCATAGTCCATGTTCTATGATGCTGTTAATGCAGAATCTTAGGTATTAATATTAAAAGGCTCCCCCGTGGCTTTCCCTTCCCTGATATATTCCACCCAACACAGCCAAGGCGCTCAGTACTCTGGAGCAGGCACCCTTGCCACACCTGTCTGTCTCACAAACACAGCAACACAGCACTACAGAAATAGGTTTTATTAGCTGAGCATGTTGGTACAAGCCTGTAGTCATAGTTATCGTGGAGGCTGAGGCAGGAAAATTCTTGAGCCCAAGGATTCCAGACCAGCTTGGGAAACAGTGAGGCCCTTTTGCAAAAACAAAGGAAAAAAAGGAAAGAGGAAGAGAAGGGAGGAAAGAAGTATTATCAGAGAATTGCCTAGCATGCACCAGGGACTTCTATATGGAAACGAACACTCTTCTCCAGAATCTTTCCTCACTTAAGGGTACACTGGCATCAAGAAGGATTTCAGAGGTGGAGGGATCCCCTGCCTCTTAGCAACAGGACAATCCTACCAGTTGCCCCGAGTTGTTATCTTTTAGGTACTTTTGCCATGTAACAAGTACTTGAGTGAGTTACCGTGCCCTGCTGTGGGGACCATGGACATGTCCTTTCCCTTCGGTTCTCATACAGGGAGGAAAATAAAATACAGCGTATGCAAGAAAAAAATACAAGAGGCCAAAGAACAGTTTCATACAGCAACACCCAAAGGGAGAGCCAGAGGAGTAGCAGGGATGAGTTATATGGGACAACATGAAGAGATACGTTATGATTAAATCCAGATGTTCTTTAAAAGGCTTGTGTGTTCAGGGTCAGGGCTTCTGGACATGAGTGGCTTGTAGGGGATGTGACCACTCCAGAGTTCAATGGCTGCATGTTGGTGGTGCCCCGTCAGAAGAGGCTGGCCGTGGGTGTAACGGGGCAAGCGCAACTTCCTCCCTGCGCCTCCCTCCCTGTTCCGCTTCCTGGCTGCTGTGATGTGAGCAGCTGTCCTCCCGACCCCTTCCCCACCACCATTTCAGCAGTGGAGCCTGCCCACCATACATGGACTAGAACTCCTGAAACCATGAGCCTAAAGTACACCTTGCCGCCTTCAATTTGCAGGTGTCGTGTATTGTGTCTCAACAGAGAGATTGAGACAAGATGTGTTCGTTATGATCTTCCCAGTAATCTTTACCTGGATGCTTGCTTCCTTTTTCAGACTCAACCTATCAGTACATCAGAGGTTCTGCTGACATTAAAGCGAACCACGGGATTTTCCCCTGTGGCCTTCGGTGTGTCACCATTTTAATTGGCGTCTATGACATACGGTCGGGAATGCCTGTGATGGGCGTAATCAACCAACCTTTTGTGTCACAAGACCTAAACACTCGCAGGTAAAAGACAAACACTTTGGGGCTGGGGAGATAGCTTGGCAGT